CCTGCAAGTGCAGAAGCACACAGTTTGCTTCCTAAGAACACTCTAAATGGAAACCTGAATTTGAGGGTACTTCTCAAAAATAGCCCTTCAGCTCGCAAACCCAGCTCAAGCCTTCTGTAGGCTGCATGGATATTCTGAGTACTGCAAACTGGAGGGCAATGTGGTAGAATCTCTGCAAACAGAAAAGCACCTTTGGTCTGCCTCAGAAGTTTTTGGTGCTAGCTGTTGTTGGCTTCTTCATTTTTCTCCTAATTCTTGCTTTTCTCCAGTAGAACTTAAGAGTCTTGGAGAAAAGACTAGTCAGACTAGGTAGTGAGAAATGGCTGTACCGAGTATATAGAAAATACCAGATCTACTTGTATTTGTTGTTTGTTGAACCAGGCTGATCTTACCACTGATGTGTGGAGCATGCAAACCCTACCTTGTACACGGGGTTGTGAAGATCTCATCACAAAGCCAGTTGTGCTGCAGGGCTTGGCTAGGGACAAGGTGAGCTTGTGGGTCTGTGTACATCTTCGTGACTGAAAGTCTTCAGGATTCCACATTGAAAGAGGGAATGTCTGCAAACGTGGATAACATTTTAATAGAAATGCCTTCTCTAGAGAATTGTCTTGCACTTAGCCTTGAGGAGATCCTGGCAACTTTTTTTCTCACCTTGCCTGGTATTTTTCTGTCAGAACTGGGCAAATGCTCCTTCTAGTCTTACTTTCCCTGTTTGAAACTTTCCCACATCAACAAACCAAAACAAATAAAAATCAAACCACTCCCACCGCAAACAAAATAAATCATAAATCAAGTCCAACAACCCCAAATGTGGGTGTGGTCAGAATTCTGGATCATCCTTAGGTATGAAAGTTCTGTGAGTGGCATTTTCTTATTATCCAGCCAATTTATTACTGACTAAGCTTTTATGGTATTTCTGTAAACTACTTCTATGTATTGAGAGATGTCGCTACAATGGTCCAGCTTCGACAGGGTTTGCACGTTCCAGGGTAAGGGGGTGGATTAGAAAAATTAGGTAGAAGGGACAGAGATACAAAAGAAATACAGATACATAGAATAGAACTGGGTGGGCTGTTCAGTGAACACTCAATATGCCTGCATTTATTTTCCATATGCTTATATACCCCAATCCAAAAAGGAGGGAAGAAGGCAAAAAAAAAAAAACTGCTTTAAAAAGACACAAAGGACAAACAGAATAATTATTTATTTCAATACTTGAAACATCAAGCAATGGTATCTTTTAGTTAAGTACTCTGTTATTTAGACAGGGTGTGTAAAGACCACACCTTAGACCAAGCATTCAGTAGGCAGCTACACCCTGGGTCAAATGGCGTGTTATATCCTTGATGGAGTAGAAATTTGGTCAAGGTTGAGTAGATCCAGCTCTGTGAGGCTTCTTAATGCCCAAAACACAAAGTAACCACACCCTAGGTCAGGATCTCTTGTTTGTAGCCGCTCCTTTAAGTCAGACCTCCAGTCAATAACTTGGAAAGAGCAAGAGTAGGCTTAGCTCTCTGACCTTCAGTCAAGGTGGAGTGGACCCACTTTCACAGAGAGAAAACAAATGATTCCCATAAACCAAGTGTAATGAAAATACAAATTTCCAAAAGTAAAAAATTAAAAAATCCAATAGTGACCTAAGATGCTAAATCATTCCAGATTTCAAGTGCTTACCTTCCTGCAGAATCATGATAGTATGGAGGATGATTTTTATTTTACATTTGTTTCTCTATGTAAATATGTGTGATTATATGTGTGTAACTGTGTATATATATGTGTGAGTGACTATGTGTGTATATGTGTGTGAGTGTGTGTGCAAACTCACATACATGTACTCATACCATAGCACATATGTAGAAGTCAGAGGAAGTGTGCAGGATTTTGTTCTCTTCCTCCATCATGTGGGTTATGGAGACTGACCTCAGGTCACCAACCTTGACAGCAAGTGCCTCTGCCTTCTGAGCCACCTCTCCAGTCCTTTGATGTGTTAGGATATCTTTCACTTAAAATTGCTTTTAGAATGCCATGAATGGATGTAATTAATAGATATGCTTGCAGCTGTTGGTCCAGTTACGCAGAATCTTCTGAAAGTGGAGCATCTTTTGAGACAATCCCTTGGTCTGGGGACACTTTCTCTTTTTAAATTAGGCTCCTCATCATTGGAGTTATGAACCAGGTCCCAGGCTAGAAACTTATGTATTAGGGTTTCTCTTGCTGGGAAGAGACACCATGACCATGACAACTTTTATAAACGAAAGCATTTAATTGAGGTGGTGGTTTATAGTTTCAGAGGTTCAGTCCCTTATCATCATATTGGGGAGCATGGCAGGGTAGAGGAAGACATGGTGCTGGAGAGATAGCTGAGAGTTTTACATCTTGCAGGCAACAGGAAGTAGACTGGGACGCTGGGTGTTGCTTGAGCATATGTGAGACCTGAAAGCCGGTCTCTATAGTGACACACTTCTCCAGCAAGACCACACTTATGCCAGCGATGAAATATAATGGCCAACATTTGAGAGACAATGTAGAAAAATGAATAACTAAGGGAAACGGTGATTTTTAAAAGTTATTTTTAAAGAACATTAAAAATTCCTGAGTCTGCCCTTCCTGTAAATGATCTCCCTAAATCTAGTATCTCCTCAGTAGGGATGACTTTCTCCCTTCCTAGAGAAAAAGCAGTTTTATGTCTCAAACAGAAACAAAAAAGAGGTCTGAGAATAGTTTGTACCCTTCAAATATCATTTGAGTAAATTAATATTCAAGCAAGAGCTTACTTGGTAATTAGAGTTGGAACTTTGTAAATATGTATAACATTTAAAAATTAGTCTCATACCTTATTTAAATGTGTGACTTCATTACCTGGTATTAATGTCTTGATTTAGCAGTGTCTATAAATTTGGTAACAATACAGTCTGGCATACATAAATAAAACCTGAGTTATGGTTGTTTAAAATTTTTAAAGATTTCTTTGCTTGTCACTATAAGTAAAGAGTGACAGAAAGAAGAGTGAGATCTTGTCATTTGCAGCAAAATGGATGATGGAGCACAATTTGCTAAATAAAATGAGCCAGACTTAGGAAGGTAAGTGCGGTATGTGCCCTCTCCCAAGTAGAAACTAAAGCAAAAACAGCCTGAATATGGACTACAGATGACTGGAGCATGGGAAGGGATAGGGGGCTGACAAAAGGAAGGTAGATAAGTGCCAACAGACAAATGAAGAAATGGGCTTTCATATTGCACAGCACAGTGAGATGGCTATCTCACAACAACCAGTTATGTCTTTTGTGATCCAAAAGTGAGGAGCTTGTATGCCCCAAACACAAGGGAATGATGAGAAGAAAAAGGTCAATTGCCCTGATTTGGTCAGGGTGGACTGTGTAGAGATGGTAAAGCACCATTCTGTTAGCAGGTGCAGTGAACACACAGATTGGCATAATAAAAATAATCTTGAAAGTAAATGCTGAGAGAACAGCTGTGAGGAAAATTAAAGAATCATTTGGGTTACAAAGAAAACTGCATTCCTGATGTCTACGTTCCCTCGCATCTCTTCTTTCTATTCTTATTTCCATTCAATAGCTTTATTTCCTTTTTTGTAATGTTTTAGTTACTTTTAAATCTGAGCTATTTGCATTTCTGGAAATATGATGGCCAGTCAGTAGATATTCATGGAAGCAGAATAAATTTAGAGTATCTTTTCAAAGTATTTATTCTCTTTAACTTTATCCATTTTTATTTGTGTGTGTGTGTGTGTTCATCTTTATGTACATCATATTCACACAATATTTATGGAACCCAGACAAGCATGTCAGATTCCCTGGAAATGACTTTACAAGCTATTGTGAATGGCCAGATGTGGGTGTTGGGAAAAACTATCCTGGGTCCCCTGCACAAGCAGCAAGTACTCCAACATACAGAACCATCCGTCTCTCCAGCCCCTTTTGTTAATCAATAAAAAACAAAAGAGAGCATGAGAGAGAGGGGGAAGGGAGGGAGGGAGAGAAAGAAATAATTTTTAGGACACAGCATATAAATAAGTATTAAAAAACAAAACCACAGAGAAATGTTACAGACATTAAGTGCTTCAGAGTTTGCATTCAGACTTACCAGTGCCAAAACAAGACAAATTCACATTGCTCTCAATATTCTCTCATGGAAAAAGTAGAGAAATGCCAATTCAGTATGCATCTGAACTACGCCCTCCGCAGGGGGAGTTCACAGGTGAGTGAAGAGAGCACAGCTGTCCCTTCAGAGAGCACAGCTGTCCCTTCAGAGAGCACAGTTATCTTTTCAGAGAGCACAGCTGTCCCTTCAGAGGGCACAGTTTTCCCTTCAGAGAGCACAGCTGTCCCTTCAGAGAGCACAGTTATCCCTTCAGAGAGCTAGTCATGTCACAGCCCTCTGTGGGACCACCAGCCCAGTTCTGTCACAGCACAAAAGTAGTTACCTGAGGTAGAAGGTAAACAGATCTCCTGCACTAAGATAATCCCAGGTTTCACTCTTAGGCATATTTTCCCAAATGTGGGGAAAACATACCTTAAAGTAGATAAGAAAGAGGCAGCAGAACTGGAGCAGGTGTCACAGAGAGAACACTAGATTTAGGGAGATCATTTACAGAAAGAGCAGACTCAGGAATTTTAATGTTCTTTTAAAATAACTTTTAAAAATCACTCCCTTAGTTACTCATTTTTCCTATTTTGTCCCTCAAATGTTGGCCATTATATTTCATTTGGCATTCATTAACAGCCACCTAAACAATGGCTCATTTTGTTTTTTAAAGATTGGTTTAAGACTCTAGGAAACAGAAAACAGAATTCTTATATACTCCCTTGATGGAGGAAGGTCATTGGTTAATTAATAAAGAAACTGCTTGGCCCTGATGGGTTAGAACATAGGTGGGTTGAGTAAACAGAACAGAATGCTGGGAGGAAGAGGAAGTGAGCTACAGGTAGCATATATATAATTAAGCCCTTGTAAACAGTCATGATATTTTTTCACAGATAAAATGGAACTGTGAGCCATAGAGTACCATTATCATGGGTTTTCATCATGCTCTCTGAGGCAGACACGATGAAGCTCCGACCCAGGATGGATACAGGCTAGAATCTTCCCGGTAAGTGCACCTTGTGGTGCTACACAGATTATTAGAAATGGGTTAAGAGGCTGAAACTAATGGGCTAGGCAGTGCTTAAATGAACACAATTTGTGTGTAGTTATTTTGGGGCATAAGCTAGCCAGGCGGCCAGGAGCTGGGTGGCAGGAATGCAACCCGCAGCTCCTTCAACACTCCCTCCACATACATAGATACCCTCTGTAGACTGTCATCAAAACATCCAAAGTGGGCACCTGCTACATGCAATGACAAATGTTAGCCTCTATCAAGTAGAAACAGCAGTACATTGTTTCATTTATTATGTTGTACTTATGAGTAATGGCAAATATGTAATGATATCAATCTACCTCTAAGATGTCCATAAAGAGAGATATCATTGTCAAGTGATTATTGGGAGCTCCACCTTTACACGTCCCTCTTCGAACCTCAGGCATCTAAAAATCTTTCCACTGCTTCCACAATTTTACTTTTTCTAGAGCAGCATGCATTTGATTGAACTTGTATATGCCTTTATGGGTAGCTTCTCTCACCTAGTTGAGATTCCCTTATGTCTTTGTTAGTATATTTTCCTTCATTACTGTCTGATATTCTATTGTTTTAACATACTATAAATTATTTATCTGTTCCCCCTCTGAAGGGTATCTTGGCTACCTTCAGTGTTTGGCAGCTGTGAATCCACCAGAAATAAACAACTCAGTACCAAGTTTTGTGAGTTCAATGTGGTTTTCAACCGCGCTGTTTGTCTTTTGCATAGCAGAAATCTGATCCACTACAGCTTGCTTCCATCAGTGACCTGATCTGACTTCTAGTCCCCCTTGCATGTTGACTGCTCCTGAATGTATAAAGACACCCACCAGGGATGTTCCACATTATCTTAGAGATTACCAGTTTGATCAATTTTACTTTGCTTTGAGAGTTTGGGGTCTAATCAGTATCGCAGTTGCCTGCCTCTGAGTAAGATCCACTGTGTAAAGCGAGGTGACCTAAGAGCAGATAAAATAGGATCAGCCTCAAAGGACACAGGGAGTCCCCACTTGCCCTTCCACTGTTCACGATGTCATTTTACTTGTATTTACTCTTTTGGCAGTTATTTTTCTTGATTCATTTAAAAATATGTTTATCTAACTTAGGTTAGTTTTCTCTAAGCTCTATTCTTTCAGAACACTTGGAGAATGTTTAAAGCTCAGAATAAAGTGCCCAAAATTCATATTTTAAGCTTCTGGTTTTAAATTTTATGTCACTGGGCCTGAAGAGATGGCTCAGAGACAAAGAGCCTTTGTTGCTCTTCCAGAGGACCCAGGTTCAATTCCTAGCAGTTACGTGGCTTACAACTGTCTGCAACTCCAGTTCAAGGGGATCTAGCGACCTCTTCTAGCTTCTGTGGGCACACAGCATGCATTTGATACACAGAGGAATATAAAGACAAAGCACCCATACACATGCATTTCTTTAAAAAGAAAAAAATTTAGATCGTTGACCACTACTTTATATCACTGGGATGTATTTTCTTCCCTCTGAATGTTTGCTTTTTTTTTTTAAATCACATTTATTCTGCATTACTCCCTGTTTAAAATGTTGTTCTTAGAATAAAGACCCGTCTATTTATGGCAGGGCTTCTAGAAAGAATAGATGAGATAAAAGGAAGAGGAGGAAGAAAGAAAGACAGATAGAAATTTAGATAAATGAGATGCTATTCTTGTTTCTTTTAGATTGCTGTGGTAAAACACTCTGACTGAAAGCAACTTAGAGGGGAAAAAATGACCGATTTGTCTTATACTTCCAGGTCACAGTCATCACTAAGGGAAGAGAGGATGGGCGCTTAAGTAGTGTGTCTTAGAGTTCCTATTGCTGTGCTGAAACACTGTGACCAAAAGCAATTTGGGGAGGAAAGTGTTTATTTTGGCTTCTAGTTCACCACTGAAAGCAGTGAGGGCAGGGACTCAAACAGGGCAGGAACCTGGAGGCAGGGTCTGATGCAGAGGCCATGGAGGAAGAGCACTTACTGGAATACTCCTCATGTCCTTAAGCTTTCTAATAGAACCCAGGACTACCTACCCAGGGTGTTCCCACCTACAATGGGCTGGACTCTCCTCCATCAACCACTAGTTAAGAAACTGCCCTACTGGCTTGCCTATCTACAACCTGGTCACTCACAGGCATGTTCTCCATTGAAGTTCTCTCCTTCCAGACAACTTCAGCTTGTGTTAAGCTGACATAAAACTATCCAGGATGAACTGGAATTTGAAGGCAGAAACCCTGGAGGTGCTCATTCATAGCTAGCTTTCCTATACAGACCACCTGTCTAGGGATAGTGCCACCCACAGTGGACTGTGCCCTCCTGCATCAACTACTGATCACTATTGCCCCCAGCCTAAGCATGATCACAGGTCAATCTGATCAAGACAATTCCTCAGTTGTGTAGACTGAAGATTTGTCTCAAAGGTCTTAATGCTGTCTCAAGTTGACAAAGCTAACAGGACAGATGGTCACTAATCCAGTGTCATAGAGTTAAGTATTTTATAAAAGATAAATATTTACCTTTTCCTATACCTCTTCCTAGTCTTCTCTGTACACACACACACACACACACACACACACACACACACACACACGCTTACATGCACACAAATAGTGCATATGTATTTATTATAAAGGTTAATGCATTTGAATTATTTTATTGCCTTTTTTCTGTTCAATTCACTTATATTTTATTTACTGTGTCTCCCTCTGCTTTATATAGCTACATAGCATTGCATTCGCCTCTAGGAGTACAATGGTGATCCATGCAAGTATGGTTTATGTGATGTCTTCTAGTCCATTCACATTTTTTCAAAGGTTTTGCTACAGGTAGCATGTGTATAATTAAGCCCTTGTAAGCAGTATGATATTTTTCACAGATAAAATGGAACTGTGAGTCATAGAGTACTATTATCATAGGTTTTCATCATGCATCTTGCCAAACGAACTTTCAGAGAGTTATAAAATAGTCTCTTACTTAATTATTTAGAAACTTTAGAACTATTTTACTTAGTAGGATATGAGTGATATAAATGTTGAATGAGAGGTTCAGTGACAAGATTTGGGGGTTAGTTTACTAGTTTGTAGGTCACTCTTTCTAAATTCTGGTTTTCCACCAGTTAACACCATACGAATAACTCTTTGTGCAGTTGCATAATATAGACTGCCCACTTTCCTTTATTTTAACAACAAGGACTTCACAAGAAACTGTTGGATATTTTGCTGAAGTCAAGATAGTCTACATCACACTGTTCCCTTTTGCAAAGATATTCTAGTCTTCTCAAAAAATAGGAATTTTATTAGTTTGTTGCAACAGTCTCAGTGAATTTTGCTGATTTCTAGTGATTAGTTTTTCTTTGACAACATTGCTATATGGATTTTTTTTGCAATGAAGGAAATGTTCTATTTTCTAAGCTATCTAATATCATAACACTAGTGATTTTCTATATAGATAAATAGTGGTGAAAATAAGGCCAGTACAACCCAGTAATGTTTTTAATCAATGAAAGTTATATAAATTTTAATAATGGGATGTCAATAATATCTGATGTATTGGGCAATGCAGGTTTATAATGTAGGACAAATTATTTATCAGATAACTCATGTAGTTTAGTGGGAGTTCAGTGTTAGTCTAAGAGATTCACCTTTCCCCAAATACCTGGTTTCTCGCTCACTTTTTGCTCACTCTGTATCTAATTGCAAGTTTTCATCTCCAGACCTTTGTACAATTTCATCCTTCATAATTTGTATAATCCTTTTATATCAGCAAGTTGTTTTCATATCCTGGGATAATTGAATCGGGGGATATAATCTCTCTCAAAGCAAACTGGTTTCATTTCCTCAAACAAGGTTTATCTGAATCTTATATTGTAAAAAATCGTTCACCTTGATAGAAAAAAAATATTAAGCAAAATGAAGGCTAGATAATTTTGTCCTGTTTATTTCATTCTTGGCCTTATTGCCATCCTTCTCAGAGCCTGGGCTTCCCTTATTTTCTCTTCTTGAAGCTGGCACTACTAACAGTGCATTTTCTGTCACCAGTGGCAAGTTTGTTTTTGTTCTCCCTACCTGGTATTGCTCCTTCCATAAGCACTTTGAATTTGTGTACTTGGACATACATACTCTTGTACGTCCACCTAGAATCGTTGGCTTTTTATTTCTCACTTAATTCAGCTTCATCAGGAATGGTGACCCCCTAAGAGCCAAGTCCAGGGCTGGGAATTCTCAAATGACTAAGTATCGACTTTGCCATCAAAGGATTTACATGTTAACAAGAGAATCAGTCTCATGACTTACATTCTACAAGCCAGGTGTTGTGGGGTATTTGCTCAATAACGGCATTCATAATGTCCTAGAAGAGTATATGGGAAGGGCCGTGTTAATTATTCTTGCAGACCCTGATGGACAGAGTAGGAATATTCCAAACACTCAGAGAAGTCTGTTGAAAACAGAATAAAGCAAGCAATCAATCAAACAAACAAACAAAAGACCAGGATGCATTGTAGGACAGAGAAGGGTACTAACAAGGTAGAATGACTTGGTGGACCAGAGCTGGGGAGAGGGTGTGCTATGGAATTCATGACTGGTCCTGAAACTGAAGCAGGCAATTGGCTTCTCGGAGGGGTGCAGCAAATAAAGATGGCGAGGAGATAAGGAGGCGTTTAGTACTGGCTCAGCATTAACGAGGGATCGTGCGTGTTATACTAAGGAATGTGAACATTGACTAAATAAAATGAGGAGGAAGATGCTGGAAGAGAGGAGGTAAATGACTGGAATCCTATGACCCACTTAGGACGTGATAGACTCCAGAAGGCTCCTGCAGGAGCAAAGATTAGTCAAGAGATAGAGAAGGAACCAGAGACCTGCAGAGGAGCAGAGCAGACAGTTCAGACTGATGGGACAGGATAACGGACGACTGCGGGGCAGGAAGAGGCTGGAACATGACTCACCGGAAGATGACGCACTGGCCTCAGAGGGTTGTG